CTTTAATTAAAACCTACTAAATGGCAGAGGTTTCCTCAGAGGATCAAGAAATACTATATTAATGAATAGATAATTATCAAAATGCCACCAATTTAACATCAAATATGTAATGGCTTAAATATTTAGAACTGTACCTTGCTTTGGATGCTAGGATGAAAAACTGAATGACCATTTCCCAAGGTGTACTGGTTAATAATGGCAGATTTTATAATTAAAGAAAACACGATAATTTCAAGAGAAACATCAAAAGTGCTTTATTCAAAGTAATGTCCATCGCTAGCTACACATTTCCCCCATCTTTCAGGTAATTTGTGGGTACCGTCCCAATAGAACTTTTCTTGTTTTGAGGCAAACCATTCAGAAACCCAATTTTCCATTTCTTCTTATGTTTTGAAATGCTGCTGAGAAAGTGCCTGTGCCATCGATCAGAACAAGTGGTAATCTGAAGGAGCAAGGTCTGGTGAATACGGTGAGTGGGTTAATACTTCCCAGGCAAGATCTTTTAACATGTCTTAACTGGTTTGGAAGTGTGTGAGGGTGGGTCATCATGAAGCAAAATGACTTTGCTGTGTCTTCTGGCCCATTCTGGTCATTTCACGATCAAAGCATTGTTTAAGTTGATTATTTGTTGTTGGTAGCATCAGTATTAACGATTTCACCTGGTTTTAGAAGCTCATAATACACCACACCTTCCTGATCCCACCAAACGCAGAGCATTGTCTTCTTCCTGAAGTGATTTGGCCTTGCAGTCGATGTTGATGGTTGACCTGGATCAACCCATGATTTTGTGCATTTGGGATTCTCAAGATAAATCCACTTTTCATCGCCAGGCACACTTTGATGCAAAAATGACTTTCTTTCATGCCGTTGAAACAACATTTTACTGACGACTTTTTAGTTTTCCACTTGTCTTTCATTCAGTTGATGTGGCACCCATTTTTCTTTTAAAATTTTTCCCATTGCTTGTAAACAATAGGAAATTGTTTGCTGAGCAACGTTTAATCTTTCTGCAAGTTGTTTTTGAGTTTGACACGCATCTTCATCCAATAATGCTTGAAATTGTTGGTCTTCAAACTTTTTCAGTTGACCTGGATGTTCTTTGTCTTTCACATTGAAATCATCACTTTTAAAGTGTTTAAACCAGAGTTCACAAGTATCTTGATATGGAGCATGTTCACCATAAGCATCCCGAAGTATACGGTAGCTTTCAGTAGCACTTTTCTTCAAAATAAAGTAATGAATTAAAACTTTCTGCAAATCCTCTTTTTTTGGCATGAAATTCGACATTTTTAAAATTTTTTTTTAAAATATATTTTATTGATTTTTTACAGAGAGGAAGGGAGAGGGATAGAGAGTTAGAAACACAATTTTTGTCTTTG